TTTATAGTTCATTTCTATGCAAATGTCACTAAATAGATTACATGTTATGCTCCCATCTAGTGGATGTTATTTTTATTTATTTAGAACTTTACTTACTGTAGTTCTTTCGCCCGGGAGTATTAAAATACTCGGATTCAGCGCGGGAAAGGAATAATTTTAAATAATTAAATTCTATTTAGACGTTATTTAATTTTGATCAAAATTATTTAGTTGGTTTCAATTTATTATTCAAGTTGACAAAAATATTAAAAGCTTCGAATTATGTAAAAATTGATATTTACAATGACGTGATCTTAGCAATCTAAGCTCTCGATGAGAAGTATCGTTACTTAGTTTTTCCGAAGATCTTCAAACTCCGTTCTTCTTCCACCATAACTTCCACACATACATCCACTCTAAGGAATATATAAAAAAGTTTGGAAAATCCAAAAGTGCACAACTCATAATGCTCATTTAATTATAAAATATTAAAAAAAACAAAAAAAAAAAAAACAAAAAACAATAAGTCGTTAGAATTTTTAAAAAAAAAATTTAACTCAAATAATGGATTTTTTCACAACTTACAGTGTTTTTGGGTTTCACACATGACGGACAGGAAAATTTTTTGGTGTTTTTTTCCGATTTTATTGCAGTAAATCAATTTTTAAAAAGTATGGAATTAATCTCCATTAAATTATCTCGACAATAGTATGCAAAATATCTTGATTCCGTGAACTAACAAGGCTATAATAATAAAAATAGCTGCCAAAATGAGACGAAAAAAATTTTTCGATCGTAAAGCACTCTCAGATGCTTCGCATCATGAGTCGTGCAATACATACATTTTCTACTACATATAATGATCCTTATACACTAACATGTATTTTCTCTATATCTATATATATTTACTTCAGCCTATCGGCCTGAAAGTTGGACTTCACTGATATACTTTTAGCAATACAGTCATTATGTTTATCCAACTATTCTTATTAATTTAACAAACCCTTTTTAAAATCTATTTATAATAAAATTAACTTATAATTAACTTGAAATTAAATTACAATAAAATTATAGTAAATTATAACATGAAAGTATAAATATTATATTATTTATAATATGTTGGACTAATGTTTGAGTTTGAATAATTAATAATTTGGATTAAATATTATTTCTATCATTTTACAATTGGATTTTCTAATAAAATTATCAGTCAGTTTAATTATTATCATTTATAAAAGAATAGATATTATTATTTAATTATGAATTAAATAATAATTAGTTAATGATTTAATAAATTAATAGTAAATTAATTAAGTAATAATTATTAATTATAAATTAAATATAAGATAATAATTATTAATTATTTCAACTCAATTTTGTTTAACTACAATATTATATAAAGTTAGATTTTAACAGTAAATGATATTTAACAATATTATTTTTGTTTAGTTACTTATGTTTTTTTTTTATTATTCTTTGTTACTTTTAGAACAAGGGTCTATTGAATTTCACACGTGTCTTTCACGACTTTTCCTCATAGGGTTTTAAGTTTCATGTGGCGAGAAAGTCCTTGAATTACTCAAGTATTTTTTATGGGTTCTGAAAATTCGGTTACAATGTACCTTTGTACCGAAATATGTTTTTTTTTTTCATTTTATTTTATTTTCTTTTGTAAATAAAACAGAGTTAACCAAAAGATGTTTATTTTACAACTGGTAAGAGTAAAAGCGTTAAATAAGGGACTTGAATATTTACTTCGAATATAAAATTTAACTAATTTCAATGGTTTAATATTTACTAATTTGAATATTTCGTTTAAATTCGCGCTCTCAATAGATAGTGCTCTAATGACAGGTAGCGTCATCTGCTGGATGCACTGGGTGCATCACATACATATGTTATAGGGACCAAGCGTCTAGACTGTCACGCCAACTAATGATAAAAATTGTAAACTTGTGGACAAAAAATATTAAATCTTAACATGTGATATATTGTTAATTTATTTTTTATTTAAATAAGTTTATATATATTTTAAATTTTTTTCAACTGTAGAGCCTTGTGATAAAAAAGTAAATTTTTGAGTATTAAAAGAAAAAACCATTCTAAAAATTTCAGTATCTTTTTAGAACAGTAGAAAGTATTATAAGAAAAAAATTAGGAAATCGGTTGACCCTGAAGGCCATCCCTGCAACTTCCCGCCAATTATATACCTAAACGTTTGAAATTGCACTTATGACACGTTTTTGAGCTCTTCGGGCTTATAAATACAATGTGTGAGTTATTTTGAGCTCTCCAAGCTCAAAAAAATAGCTTTTGTATTCTTTTGAGCTCTTCGAGCTCAAAATTTTGATCGGAGTTTGATAAAGCACTATTTTTTGAATTTTCAAATCGCAATAACTTTTGAATGAATGAACCGATTTTCACGCGGTTGGTGGCATTCAACGCAGTTTTTTAAGCTTGATAAAGAATCTTCAAGTTTAAATTGATAAAACGGAAAATTACAGAGTAATTTCGAAAAACAGATTTTTTTGGTTTTCTTTCGTCAGCGATAACTCACAAACGAATCAACCGATTTTGACCGGACTGGCAGTGATCGGCGTAGTTTTTTTGATGATAAAAGCTGATTAGTTTTTGAGATTGATTCGTAGAGCCGTTTAAAAGTTATTCCAAGAAAACCACATTAAAAAAATTTTTTTTGCGATTTCTTAAAATCGACCGGTCCGAATCGTTCCAAAGTATATTAAAAATCTAAGTTCAGTCAAGCCCTTTCGAATGGCACCAATCGCAATCAAATAAGGTCAAGTCCGAATCTAAATATGAAGTAGTACGACACACACACACACACACACACACACACACACACACACACACACACACACACACACACACACACACACACACACACATATACACACACACACACACACACACACACGCACACACAGACATACGGATATCATCGCAGGGGTAGTTAGGTAAGCTCCTTATATGACCTTACAACGTCGAGATCTAATGAAAACTCGATTTTCAAAAAACGAGTTGAACCCTATAACTTCCCAACGATTAAAATTTTTTAATTTTCATAGTGGGAAGTTAAAAAAGTTCAATTAACTGAGTTAAATGTCAAAATTTCATACATTTAAGAATTATGCAATTTCACTAGATGCTAAAAATTAAGTTAAGATACTTCAAAGATGGTTTAAATTATAATGTTTGCAGGGGTATGGAAAAGAAAATACTTCGAGGACGGACCTCAAAGTATCATTTACTGAATGAAAAAAGGTTCGACAAATTAAGAGAGATGTCAATGTTAAATAAATTAAAGAATTTTACTATTACGCCCTCTACTAACAATTTAGTTTAAATATCTTCCAACAGTATAAATCATGTTCGAGTAGCATGAAGAAGGCGATACTTTGAGGACGGACCTCAAAGTATCTTTTTCTGAATGTTAGAAATGTTAAATTAGTTATGGGGTTATTCTGGCCTAGAAGCATGAAATTTCAAGTAAATTTTAAAGTGCCGTAAAAAAGAGACAATCAATATTTTTACCGTCCATTTTGTTATGTTATTTATTTAGTTTTAAGAATACAAAAAAATATCAAAACCTAAAAATCGTGAAAACTCAAAAAAATTAGCAACTGATGAAGTGAGGGGTTTCAAAAAATTAGCACGTGATGACACCCATGATTCCAGCCCTCCTAGCAATCAGAAAAAAAAATGATTATTTATGTAGAGTAATGTCGCTATGGTTGGAACTAAGGTCATTCCCAAATTTCAATTTTTACTATTTTTAGAATATTCGAAAAAGTAAAAAAAAAATTAGAATAACAGTTTACCCTAAAGGCCATCTCTGCAACTTCCCGCTAATTCCGTTAATACATGGCCGTTTTTTTTGAGCTCTTCGAGCTCAAAAATACAATCTATGTGTTATTTTGAGCTGTCTGAGCTCAAAAAGATACATTTTCTGTGCTTTTGCGCTCTTTGAACTCCAAGGTCTGATAGAAGTTTCATAAAACACTATTTTTTGAATTTTCAAACCGCAATAACTTTTGAATGAATGAACCGATTTTTACGCAGTTGGCGGCATTCAACTTTTGTTGTTCAACTTTTTTTAAGCTTGATAAAGAATCTTCAAGTTTAAATTGATAGAACGAAAAACTACAGAAACAAAAACTTCCCTTTAAAAAAATTAAAAATTAAAAATTTTAAAGATATGAATTTTTGAATTTTTGAAGTTGCAAAGAACAAAAATAAATTGTTTTCTGAAATTCAAAAAATTTTTTTCTGAAATTCAAAAAATTATTTTTGAAATTCAAAAATTTATATCTTTAAAAAAAGAAAAATCCCTATCCAAAAATTTCAGGATCTTTTAAGATCATTACAAGGTATCATACAAAAAAAATTGAGCAAAAATTTTAATGGCGGTCTTCATTTTTGACGATTTTCAAAAATTCAAAATTCGACAAATTTGGCATTTTTCGAAATTTTTTTTTTTAAATATTTTTTTTAATAGCCCCAAATGTCCCCTTTTTGACAAACCAAAGCCCATTCCTGTATCTATAATGGCATTCGAGATATTGCAAAAACAAAATTGAAAAACTGGAAAAATCGCGAAATTTTGAATTTTTATATCTTTCAAAAAAAATTTTTTTATTTGTTTTCCTTTGGCAGAACTTCGTTTTATGATGAAAGAAAACTTCTGACCAAAATTCATCCAAATCGAAAGGGGTCGATTCCAACTATTGGTCGATTTGACATGGAATGACCCTAATGCTTTTTGCTCATTTTTTGCTTTTATTAAACACCAGGGTATGTCACTTCCGACAGATGTGCTGTTTCTACAGTCAGTGCACGGTCCCTATTAATTTTTTATTTTTAAATTATCTGATGACTTCTATGCATACAGATATTTCTTGTGTTCTTTAAGAGTGAAAAATATTTTCGTATTGGTCCATGATTAGAAAAAATCGTCTGAATCGACTTATTTTGACACACTTTATTATAATTAAAAAGTCGATATGAATTTAAAAATTTCCGAATTTTTAGATCAAACCAGTAAACAAAAATACCGTATGAAATTTTAAAAACACGCGTTAAAGAATATAGTTTGATTTTAACCACTTTTGTGAAAAAAGACATTCTATTATCAAGCTTTTTTTTTGTTGCTGGTGAATTGTAACTGAACTTTTCATGAGCTATTGACAGCAAACTTTTTGTTTTATCTTATGTTTGAATTTTATGAACTTACAGAATCCATACACATTGATAAATTTGATTAAATAAATTATGATTAAACATAAATTTTCATTCCATTCACTATATAATGCTAAATGTAAATCATTTATTATAATTAAAAGACTTAACGTTTCATCTTAAACTTCATAGATAATCAGTATTAGAGTATCAATAGATAATATTATATTGTATAAATAATATTCAATAAATTTTTTTTATCATAATTTCAGTACTAAAAAATTGTAAACAAATTTCTTATGTCTGTCAATTTCAGTGTCATATATAAATTTATTTAGTTTATTGTACGATGTATTAATAAATTATGTGTTTCAGGTGCTATTCATTCAGGTGTAGGAAATACGAGTTTAAATAAGATTCTAGCTTGTGAAAATTTACCTCAAATGAGACGACAACAATACAAAAAATATGAAAGTATAGTTGGCAAAGCAATTGAATCTGAAGCAAGGGATAGTTGTAAGCGAGCTGCATCAGAAGAAAGGGAGTTAGTTATTAAAAATGTGAAAAATTATGTGATACATTGTAAGCATTTATTTAGATTTATTTAAAACTTTAGTAGAGCTCATGCTGATAAAATAATAATTACAAATCATATTTTTACACCAATCTTTTAATATTGTAAATATTATTGTATTTTACTGAACTGAATTGTAACATAATTATTACTCTAATTTGTAAATATTTTTTTTAAATTTTTATCATGTTTTTCGAATATTGTACTCTATAAGATGATTTATAATTATTATAGTATCATCAAATGTACAATATACGACAAATTTAATTTTAACTAAAAAATAATACTGGTAACTTTGTTGTTTCCATATCACAATAGACTTATTACGTATTTTTGTTACAGCTGTTGGTAAACAGTAAATTATACACTTTTTACACCATATACACTATATATTTTACACCATATATTTTACAGGAAAATGTTTGTTCTATGTTGTATATTTGAAATTGAATTGAGAAATTAAAATTTTTAAAAATGATTGGAAATTGAATAAAATAAATTATTTCAATTGTATGCCTCCAGAAATCACAAAAGATATTTTTCCACAATTACATCTCCTCGACATCCATTCACAAAATAATGATAATTTATTTGATACTGATTTAGGTGAAATAATAAATATAGTAGTATCATTTGATATGGGTTGGACTAAACGTGGTAACGGACGTAGCTATGATAGCTTGAACGGCTATAGTACAATTATTGGTTTCTTATCAGGGAAAATTTTGGATTACGCTACGAAAAATCGAAAATGCGATCTGGGGCATAAAAAAGATCATGACTGTCGATTAAATTTTCACAGTAGTGCTAAGGCTATGGAGGCAGCAGCAGGAGTTCAACTTGTGAATCATAGTACTATTCTGAAAGAAGCAGGTCTTCAAGTACGAGTCATCATAGGAGATAAAGATAGTTCTATGATTGCTGTTGTACGAGCAGACAACCCAACGAAAAAATTCCATAAATTATCTGATAAAAATCACTTAGCTAAGAATTTCGGGAAAGAATTGTACGGCATGCAAAGTAAATATAAAGAATTGACTAGAAAGAATGCACGGAAAAAAGTAAACTGTAATATTCACTCGAATTCCGGTTAGTTTTTATAGTTTCAAACAGTATAGCGGACATCGGGGTGGCAAAAATCTAAATATTACAGAACTTAATGTATAAAGTATAAAAGCCACAATTTATAATTTAATATCCAAAATAAGTGATTAGTAGCTGTCACTATAGTAAATAACGACTCTTTCATCTTTAAAAATTACAGTTTCAAACAATAAAAATTGCTATCTCAATATATAGTCCATATTATGAAGAGAAGGGAAACTCAGATGAAAGAGAAGGGGGTCTCACTCTGGGAGAATTTAACATTTGGAACAGTAAAAATTATACTTTTAGAATATACATTTTACCAGTCTAAGCAAGTCAATAATTACAGTTTGATTTTTAGCGTTGCGTTTAAAATTTACCATTTTACTTTGTAAATATTGACGTTGCTTGTATTAGAAATTTACTAATTTTATTTTATACTTTTCACATATCCTAACATCATTTTTTAGGTACAAAATGATAAATATTAAAGTCTGAATTCTTAATTATCATACTTTAGACATTTACATAGCAATTATTACTGTTTGAAATAGTATTTTCTTCTATGTAAAGAGTAAATTGTAACGTTTAAATTGTAAATTTTACAATGTGAATAGTAAAATCACGATTTTACTGTTTGAAATGGTAATTTTTAGCAGTTGATAATTACTTATTATAAATTGACTGTTATTTATTACAGTTTTCTTTTTTCCGTGTGTTATACCTCATTTAAAAAAAAAGGCCATTTGGCACCAGCCAAAATGGATGGTAAATTTCACGTAATCCATGATTTTAATTACGATATTATGAATAATTATTATTCCTCAAGTTTATCAGAAAAGTAAATCAGCTGCCAAATTTTAAAATACAGTGATTTATTAGATTTTCGAAAATTTCAAATGGCTGCCATTTCTAAACTATTTGAGGGATTTAGCTCATTTTTTAACTCATCCAAGCTAATTGTATATAGAATGAGTCTACCAAATTTCATAAATATTCATTAAGAATTCTAGGAGTAATCATGTCCACAAGTCGCGTTGTGTTGTGTGCTTGTCTGAAACTGATTCAGATGACATTCAGCTTCTTAAACTTTTGGAGTAATTGATGAAAAGTAAATTTGTTATAGGTTAAATTAAAGAGAATTTCATAAGATTTGGAATGAAATGCAGAAAAACAATCTATCATTTCTCAATAAAAAGTTATTTCCTAGTAAAGTCATCAAACATGTGATTTTTTTAGATTTTCGAAAATTTTAAACGGCTGCCATTTCTAAACTATTTAATGGATTCAGCTCATTTTCAAACTCATCCAAGCTAATTGTCTATAGAATAAGTCTACCAAGTTTCATAAAAATTCATTAAGAATTGTGGGAGTTATCGTGTCCACAAGCTGTGCGTTATATTACATAAATATATATATATATATAAACTTCCAAACCAACGTCATTTTTAAGCCTTACTCGACTAAATAATTGATATAGTAACGAAATTCTGTGTGAATTTTGACACAAGGGCCAATGCAATAGATAAATTTTATGAAATCTACCTAAAAACGACGGAATTATTTGAAATCATTTTTTAGGAATTTTTTATTAATTATTCAATTTTTTACAATCGTTAATTTTTATCAATTATTTAATATAATACCGATAAAGTATTCTTATAAAATAAAAAAAATAAACTTTTAGAACTTTTAACAATTTTAATTGAATTTTTTATTAATAATTATCGTATAAATTTTTAGACACTTAAAAATTTTTTTTGCTAATTTAAATACTTTAAAATTAATAAAAAAAAAGTATTAAAAAATAATTTTGACAACTTTTTTGTAAAACAACTTTTTTACAACAGTAATTATAAATTTTTAAGTACAACAAATTTACTTTTATTATTATACATAATTTTTATTTAGAGTTGAAAAATTTTTAATGAAAATCCTCGCTATAAATAATATATGTTATATATTCAAAAATTTTTGTATAGATCTTGAAAAATTAAAAAAAAAAAAAAGTTAATCGAATTTAAAAGTTCGGTATGATACCGATCGGTAAAATTGAAAATGTATGTCACTGAACCCAGTACAGTATTTCCATCAAGCCATCCAGATATCGGCTTTGTCTAAAAACTTTTTCTCTCGCATCTAATGTACGCTTTTATTTTTCTCAGTACTCCGTCTCTTTATAGTTCAGTACAACGCCAAATACAAAGTAGAGACTCGAGGTACAAAGAACAAACACATAAAAATATAAACCATAATCAACAACGACATTGTTTAATATCACTCCAACTAAAAGCTTTCTTTATACCACACAATAAGAGGGTGATAACTTAATTGTAAATTACTGGCCCACAGATAAAATTCAGTGTCAAAACAAGTGTCTTCAAGTATCTAGTCCACGATTTTTATTTTAAAATTCACTAAAACTAAACAAATGTCTTTATTCTTTGTATGAACATTCCTCTGCACTAATAGCTTCATATTAGGGATATAATTTACAGTGTAATTTATTAACGCGTTGACAATTTGATTGGCTTTAATGTGTCGCTGTATTCAGATAGAAGCATGTTCTACATACTTCTACCCTTTCTCTTCTATTTATAGTTCAGTTTACTCAAAGAGGAGAAATTATTTTAAATTTCAAAACTTTGAAAAATTTTTCTAATTTATCTTATTTTTTAATTCAAACAATTTTTTTTTTATATTTTCTAATTTTTTATGAATTCTTAACATAATATATTTTATAAAAAATATTTTTCATTATTTGTCCGCGCCAGGAATCGAACTCTCGCTTTCCAAAATTCCTAGACACGAATTTAAGTACTCATATTTCAAATTTCTCTAATAATTTTCAAATTTTGGCTTATATATTGAAGATATGAAAAAATAATAAAAAAATTTTTTTTGTAAGAAATTAAATTATAAACAAAAAAGGTGCTTTTCAATTTCACTGTATCTCTCTTCTTATCCTTAGAATTTAAACTTTAAAAAAAACCAAAGCTATCGAAGTTATCTATAGCTTTTTAAAAATTTGATTTTAAATTTTAAGTTAACGGGGGAACATCACTGTGCACAGTAAAAAATTTTACGTCATTGCGTCAAAAAATTTTGTGTTAAAAATTTTTTGATGCAAAATTTTTTACTGTGTGACGGTCGAAAAAAAATTATTTTTCGGGAATTTTTTTGACAGGAAAAATAAAAGAATTTTGGGATCGGGTTTTTTTTTTTATTCTATCAAGGGTACATTAAAGATTATTACCCTAAATTTTTATCAAAAAATATTTAATGATTACAAAGTTATTAACAATTCCGTAGAGCACTAGAAAAAACTTCCCCCTCCATGGTCGTATCGATAACTCAAAAACGGATCATCTGGAAATAAAGGTGACACGCGTTAATATCCCCGGACAAAATATCCCCGCGTTTTTGTTGGTTTAATTTTGAATAAACGCACAAACACACTAAAAAAATAATGTTGAGATTAATTTTCAAATTATTATTGATGAATTTTTATATTTTTAAGAATTTTGCACGCCTCATAATCTCATTTTTCCACAATAAAATTGATTAAAATAAAATATAAAAAGCAAAATAATAAAAAACAGAAAACTCTGCTATGGTTTAGTGGCGCCATAACTCTAAGGTGAGGAAAAAAAATACTATAATAAAATGTATAGATAGATATACAAAAAAATCCACAGTCATATATTAGTTTTTTATAAATAATAATTTAACGACAGTGAATTAAACGCTCATATTAATTAGGAAAATCCTTCGTGTGTTACTTTAGATAATAAAAAAAAAAATTATTCCGGTACGATCATTTTTTCGACCAATTTCCCTGCCACAGACACCCATCCATACGCGGACGTCCAAAAAAGATTATGTTTAATGTTATTATTTACTATGTTAAACAAAAAAATTGTTATTGAAACATATTTTATGTGCCTGACAAATTATTCGACTTGATACAAGTGTACTCATATTAACCTATAAGTGCGATATAAATAACAAAAAATCAATTTCAGTTTCGACAAAACTGCTTTTTTCGAAATGTCGAGAGTAGAGCACAACCTCAACGCTTCGCTTATGAGGCGTGCAAAAATTAAGTATTTTCACACAAGGTACACATCCATAGAGTTGATCGAGGATTGCTTTTAAGCCCTGTGCACTTAAAATGGTACCATTCACAACAATAATTGCAGTAGATACTTTTTTTATACTCCGACTCATCATCAACTGTGGTGTCTAAGCTTTTTTTACACAACATGCAATCCCACTCTTGTAATTTTTTTTTTAAATCATAAACTTGCTTGACTAATTTCCAAGCTTCTGGCGTTAAATATTTTTTAATTAAACCAATTTCAACAAATTCATCAAGAACAGCTGATGAAACTTTCTTGGGTGTTGTCTCTACCTCGTTTTCTTTAATCAAATAATTTGAATTTAATGCCTTAGTTGTTATATTTTTATCGACAAACCAATTTAACATAATAGTGGTTTTCTCGTACGTTGATTTTTTGTTAAACGGTTTATCAATTTTCTTTTTCTTCGTTAAACCTATTGCAGTCTGTTTCCAGCCTATCGGCCTTCCTCTTTGTTTAATTGCTGGGGGGACAGTGATTTTTTCTAATATTTTTCTTTTTTTTTCTACATTACTTGTAATTTGAGTTGAAGAGGATGAACATGGTACTGGAGATACTGATAAGGGTACCGGAAGAACTGATCAAGGTATTGGAGGTTCTGAAGATACTGATTTTTTATTATTCTCTGTAATGGTAATTAAATCATCATCATTGTTCATGATTTCTGCAGTAACAGGATCATTGTCACCATAAACTGTACTAATTCCTGAAATCATTGATAAATTCTGAACTTCAACTTCAGAAGGATCGGATGAATCAAGATCAGGTACGTTTAATTTTTTTCTCTTTTTTTGTTTAACTTTAATGATATTATTACTATTATTATTTTTGTTGTAGGATTCATCATCGTCACTGCTGTTAATGTCATCGCTCATATTGTTGCTCCGTTCTGTAAGATTGATTCCATCACCACCAACTCGGCTAGTACCACTGTGATCATCGTAGTCACGTTCAAAATTCCGTCTTCTTGTATCAACTTTGGTGTTATTTTCATTGCTGCAGCTAGCACCATCATTATTATCTTGACTTTGACCTTTAAAAACAGTTTCATCATCACCGTCGCTAGAGATGAGATTACCATCGTCGCTATTAATCCTAATGCCGTGATTGTTTATCGATTGATCATGACAGTTTATTACTTTAACAATCATTACTTCTTCGTCGTTTTTATAGGCGTTACACAAATCACGAATGTTTTGCATGCGTTGGATGTACAAATCATTGCTTTTTTCCGAAACTAAGCTTGCTAATTCTTTCATTAAAAGAGAAGCGTTCTTGAATTTTTGATGCTGTGAAAGAACTTTAGTTTTATATTCTCTAGATGTAACTATACATTCTGGAATTTCAGTTTCTGTGTCCGCTGTTTGAAAAACGCGTTGAGTTTTAAAATAGTATTTTTTCTTTCATCTTTCAAGGCATAATTTTTCATCGTATAAATCCATTTTTAGGGATTCTCTGACTGCGAATATATGCCTGAAATAATCAGTTATACAATGTAGAAATTTATTAATTGTTGTAAATATTTTAGTACACTAAGAAAATTTTATAGTAATGAGTATGATTGTATAATTGTAATAATATCTATCGTAGTATTTTATTGACTACAATTTGATTTTGATTGTTAATATTATGCCAGTTAATAATATTTATTATCACAATGGTTATAAAAAAACAAATTTTAATTTTTAAAATTCAAATTTGTTTCTGCAATTTTTTTAAAAATTATTTTATTATTTATTAATTTAAATGGAGTTTTTGAATTGACAGCATTAAAAAATTGACAATTCTAATTTTAAAGATAACCCAAGAAGTAAACGAATAACAGAATATTAGTACGATAAACGTTTGGGTCGGAAAAATTTTAAATAATAGAAAAAAAACACTGAAAAAAACTAATAAGGAGAAAAAATACAAGTTTTTTTAATCATAAAATGTTAGCTATTAGTATCATGGTGATAAATATTATTAGCTGTTAAATCATAACCATAATTAAAGTCAAATTTAATTACGCTTCACGTAATAATTATCCGTAACTTCTATTCTTTCCCGCTTCACAGCATTATTTATATTTGTTAAAAAAATGTGGAACGCACGTGTGGAACACACGGGAAGATTCAATATATATATATTTATGTAATATAACGCACAGCTTGTGGACACGATAACTCCCACAATTCTTAATGAATTTTTATGAAACTTGGTAGACTTATTCTATAGACAATTAGCTTGGATGAGTTTGAAAATGAGCTGAATCCATACACATAAGAACTAATGGAAACACGTAACCGTGTCGGGAATAATAAAGCCCCAGGATTAGACTGAATCCCTAATATTGCCTTGAAAACATCTATTAAAGCAGCGCTAGCGTTATTTCTCGACGTCTACAACATCTGCTTGAAGGAAGAGATTTTTCATTGAAAGTGGAAACAACAATGGCTGGTACTACTTCCTAAAGGGAAAAAGCCACCGGAAGAACCGTCATCTTATCGTCAACTCTGCATGCTGCCTGCTGGATACAGCCGGTAAGATACTAGAACGTATAATCCACCAAAGGATAGAAACAATCCACAAAAAGATTAGTTTTTGAAATTAATCAGTGTAGCCGTTTAAAAGTTATTCCAAAAAATGTCGGAGTTATGTAAAAAAAACACTTGTTTCCAAATATTTTATCGAGGATATCTCTCGAACCAATCAACCGATTTTCACGTTTTTGGCAGCAATCGACGCGGTTTTTAAGCTTTAAAATTATTCTATATTATTAAAAACGATCCGAGATAAAATGACGAAGTTATGTCAAAAAAACTCTTTTTTCGGTTTTTTTTCGTTCACGATATCTCTTGAAAGAATCAATAGATTTTGACCGTATTAGCAACGATCGGCGTGGTTTTTTAAGCTTAAAGGCAGATTTGTTTTTGAAGTTGATCAATCTAGCCGTTTAGAAGACATTCCGAAAAAACCACTTTCAAAAATGATTTTTTTCTTATTTTTTTTTTGAGATTTTTCAAAATTTCTCAAAATCAATCTGTCCGAATCAGTTCAAATTCTCCGGAAATCTAAGTTTGAGGGAACACTTTAGAACGCCGTTTAGTAAGTTCCGATCGGTTCAGTTATTCAAAAGTTATAAGCGAGTCACTGAGTCACTGAGTCACTGAGTCACTGAGTCTCTCTCTCTCTGAGTCACTGAGTCACTGAGTCACTGAGTCACTGAGTCACTGAGTCACTGAGTCACTGAGTCACTGAGTCACTGAGTCACTGAGTCACTGAGTCACTGAGTCACTGAGTCACTGAGTCACTGAGTCACTGAGTCACTGAGTCACTGAGTCACTGAGTCACTGAGTCACTGAGTCACTGAGTCACTGAGTCACTGAGTCACTGAGTCACTGAGTCACTGAGTCACTGAGTCACTGAGTCACTGAGTCACTGAGTCACTGAGTCACTGAGTCACTGAGTCACTGAGTCACTGAGTCACTGAGTCACTGAGTCACTGAGTCACTGAGTCACTGAGTCACTGAGTCACTGAGTCACTGAGTCACTGAGTCACTGAGTCACTGAGTCACTGAGTCACTGAGTCACTGAGTCACTGAGTCACTGAGTCACTGAGTCACTGAGTCACTGAGTCACTGAGTCTCTCTCTCTCTCACACACACACACACACACACACACACACACACACACACACACACACACACA